TTGCTTTGCTCGATAAAAGGTAAAATAAATAAATGCACCATTTTTAAAGTTGATACAACTTTAGGTAAAAATACGTCTACACTGATTCTCTCATTTACATGGGTAGGTGACTATATATATAGAAGGTACGTTGAAAAGCCAGTTAGATGTTGTTGATATGTCTCTAGTGGCTTATGTTATTGCTGTCCACAAAGAAAAGCTGCATAAAGGAATCGTCTTGCTAATTTGTGGCTCGTAGCTGTTGCAAAGGTAAAAGGGGATGGCAGTCATGGTCAACTGCTGAAGGTGCATTAGACACTCGCAAAAATCCTTCCTGATTCCCAACACGTAGTTTCTGTCCACTAAAGGTCAAAAGCACCTTAACAACCGTTAAGCGTATATTGACGTCCAAGATTGCATACACCTAGGCAGACAGAAGAAAAGAGTAAAGGAATCCGCTTTGTGCAAAGGTTGCAAGTATTATGCCAAATACTCGAGCTGTAAGAGACGTGATTTCTGCCTTTTTTATTGTTGCCAGTGCCATAATATTGCTTGTTCCAGGGATGTTTAACTTCTTTAGAGGTGCTGCCTTTTTGGTCTGTCAAATGATTAAGTGAGGTCCGTGATTAACGTTGATCCAACAGGCGATATCAAGATTAAAATCATGCTCTTCAAATGCATTCCAACAATTGCTCTTGCGTCTCTCCAGTTTGTAAAATACCTTCTTTGCTTTACTCACACGCAGGTCTCAAGACAAGGCAACATTTTGCTTGATGCAAATGACAAATTCTAAGACTTGATTGTAGAATAGAAAAAATATGTCTAAACAAAATTAGGACGTCAATTTTGATACGACGACGAGTACACTCCAATGAATAGAATATATCAAAGGGCCTTTTTCCTCATTACCGAACACTCATCACTGAGTCATCACGCCAACTACTCCTGTGGCAAATTTGCTTACCTGCCAAGGCCAACTAAAGTCGAGTGTTTTCATCATAGTCTCATATCTGAGTAATGAATGAGAGATATGGGTCTCCGGGGGAACTGAGTCATCACCGTGCATCCACAACCTTTGGAGCGATTATGGGTGATCGACTGATGTTGCAGTGAAGTCTTCCCTTGACATACCGGAGCGACTACTTTGCGCTTTGCCTTTGTAGGCAGATGAATGCCCTTTGTTGGAGTTGAATACACCTCTTTTAATTGATGGGGTGCTTTCATCCTTTAACGCACCGAGGTGGTCTGCAGGACGACAAGTTGAATGTGCCTTGAACTCTTCGTGGAAAAGTGAGGTAGGAGCAACTGAATTTGAGCCACTTCTGTCCTGGGATCGAAATAGCCCATAGATAGGCCAATTAGTTTCATGTTTTTGGGCAACGGAACTGCACCACTTCATTTGGTTGACCACGTCTTACGGCCACAATGATCAACAGCATGAGGTGTCATTTCGAACAAAGCACAGTAAATGCTGCTTTTTGCAAATGATGCTGCATTGTTTGT